TATATATATATTAGACAGTCCTGGGGCTTGAACTCAAGGCCTGGGCACTGTCCCTGAGCTTATTTTGCTCAACAGCACCACTTCTGGCTTTTTCTGTGCATGTGGTACTGAGGAATCAAACCCAGGGCTTCATGAATGCTAGGCAAACACCTACCACTAAGCTACATTCCCAGCCCCTAGCAGTTTTCTTTAAGTTATTCTTCAGGGTTGTTCAGAGAGATTACCATTGCATAAGTCAGGTAAGGAGTACATTTCATTTTTTGGACAATGTCACCCCTTCCTTCACTTTACCCCAAACACATCACTTTTAATGAATGATTGTCATGGAGCAGCCAATGAATGTAGGAAGATGCAAATGATGTTTAGTGGCAAAGCTGGACATGACCACCTGTCTGAGACAAAGGATTGAGTTTGAGTGAGAGAGATACATGGTGCTGCTACTTCAAGGTTGAAGAAGACAGGTCTTTGTTTTTGTCAGTTGTTGGGCTTGAACTCTGGGCCTGGGCACTGTCCCTCAATTCTTCAGCTCAAGGCAAGTGCTCTACCACTTGAACCACAGCATCACTTTTTTTTTCTGGTGGTTTATTGGAGATAAGAGTCTCATGGACTTTCCTTCCTGGGCTGGCTTTGAACCTCAATCATCAGATCTCAGCCTCCTGAGTAGCTAAGATTACAGGCGTGAGCCACTGGTGCCTGGATCCTGAGCATTTTTCATCAAGGCTAGTGCTCTGTCTCTTGATCCATGGCTCCACATTTGGGTTTTTGGTAGTTATTTGGAGATAAGAGTCTCAGGGACCTTCTGCCCAGGCTAGTTCTGAATCGTGATCCTCAGATCTCAGCCTCCTTAGTAACTAGGATTACAGGCATGAGACACCAGCGCACAACTAGTTAATTTTCTAAATCAAGTCCTTGGCCTTCACCACTCACATTCTCTATCTCCAGGTGAAGTGGAGAATTTAAAATGTCCTGAAAAAGAAAAAAAACATAGAGAATTTATTTTGTCTTACCTTTTTTTGATGGATTGATGTTATAAGCTCTAAGTGCATAGACATGTCATGGAATCCAATGGCTATTTCCTTTTTTCAGGGTGAACGGAAGGACCTCGCTAGCATCTCTGCCCAGTGCCTGGTTACTTCCGCTGCCTCCACTTTCATTCTGAATTATTTTTCTGGTCCTGGGGTTTGAACTCAGGGCCTGGGTGCTGTCCTTGAGCTGCGTTTTTAAAAGGCCACTTCAGGCGTTTTGAAGTAGTTTATTGGAGATAAGAGTCTCATGGAGTTTCCTGCCTGGGCTGGCTTTGAACCACAATCCTCAGATCTCAGCCTCCTAAGTAGCTAGGATTCCACGCATGAGCTACTAGCACCTGGCTAATTCTGAATATATATATATATATATTTTTTAAACACAGGACAGTCCATAGACCTTGAAATTAGACAAAGCTTTAGTAGGTGGCAGGGGTAGAAATGCCTGATGCCCTTTTTCAGGTATGTGCAAGTAAAAAACAGTGGTTCTGAGGATAACTCCGAAGAGAAAGAGTAGATATGGTATTTACTTTAGTCTGCAAACACCTCAAGGGAGGTTCTGGTGTTATTTCCATTCTCAAGATGAGGACAAGGAAGCATTCTCCTACAACTATGCCAGCATTCATTCAAGGCGAAGTGGCCATACATACCGATCAGCTGAGTGGGTTAAATGACATAATAGTTCCCCAAACCCCATCAGTTCTTCTGCCTCCTGGGGAGGGAGTTAAAAAACGACGTGCAGGGCTGTGTGACAGAGCCCAGGCTGACACGACCCGATGGAGTCCATCTTCACCCACCATGGGCTGCGGTTCACCCCTCAGGGCCTCAGTTCCCATCTGCAACATGGTGATCATTGCAGTGTAAACTTCCCAGTTATAAAAATTAAGGTAAAAATAGGCCCTGCATTCAGTAGGGGTCAATACATGGTTACTTTATTTATTCCTTGACTGGCTAAAAATAATGAGGTTTTGTGATTTTTTTTTTTTAAGAAGGAAAAGTTCTGACTCTACTTTTTCAGTGTCCATTTTCTGCCACCATCCTATGAATGTCTGAGCATTACTATTCTCAAAGGTTTCCCCCTTTGGACTGTCTCCTCCTGTTGGATGTAAATGAGTAGTATGTTGCATGGATTTGGAAGAAGTTGAATTGAACTCTTTAAATTCTCATTTTGGCTTGATTTTTGGCCTGTTATAGACCATGGGTCTTACAGACATCATGGAAAAAGATAATTTCCTGTGTTCATGATTTTTTCACCCTTGCATTTATTTGGATTTTAAGCCACCATAGATGCCCTTTTAAAATAAATCTTTATTACATAGAAGCCAAGAAAATAGTCCATTTGATCATTTAAATACAACCCCTGTTTAAATCCTTGTTTGTTTGTTGTTGTTGTTGTTTGTTTTGCCAGTCTTGGGGCTTAAACTCAAGGCCTGGGCTCTGTCTCTGAGCCTCTCTGAACACTCTACCACGTGGGCCACAGCGCCCCTTCTGGCTTTTTCTATTTATGTGGTATTGAGGAATTGAACCCAGAGCTTCATGCATACTAGGCAAATACTCTACCACTAAGCCACAGTCCCAGACCCTGCTTTTAATTCTTAAAAAAATTTTAGTTTACTATGAATTTACACAGATGCAGTGAACTATGCCTAAATTTCCCACACTCAAGAAGGTTAGAGTCAGGATGATCCTGAATTCAAGTTGGGACTCCAACTCTAGTTTTTTTCAAATTTAATCACAAGAAAAAGCAGAGGTCTGATAGAAAAATAGAGACCACCACACTTGGTTTATTTCAGGGGCAGAAAGGTCAAAGGTGAACAGAGAATGCAATTCTAAAATAGAAAAGCCTCTGGGTCTTGGGAAGAGGATGAAAAGCAAGGAACTGATGTGGTCACTAGAGCGAGCAGAACCGCTTGGGGAGAATCAGAGGGGTAGATTCTGCATCTATGGGGGGAAAAAGACCAGAGAGGAGACAGTTACCTGTTGGAAGAGCCAGACAGAGGTCCTAAAACCTTGCTGGATCACAACTCAACCCAAGAGACAATGTGTGAAAGAAACTGGCTTCTTGCTGGAGGTATTCTGATATCCATTTGTATGTTGCAACATCTTGCCTTGAGCCAAGCGGACAATATTAGATTTCCATTTCTGCCTTCTGATCTATGAAAATGGAATGTCTTTACCAAAGCTTTCTTCTTCGTTTGACGATGCATAAATGATCTTTTCCATCACGTGGCTCAGCTATGAAAGATGGCAAGGCCATTTAAAGGACACTTGTGTTTTCCCTATACCTGTGAATTACATCACATCCTGCCAGGTTTTCTAGACAGCCTGTGAGATGATATGTTTTGTTTTGTTTTCTCCTTGGTTATATATTTTTCTCTCTCATTAGATAAATATACCAGTAGTGTGGTTTTATTTTTTCCTTTCTCCCCACGCACACACACAAAAAATAATAGTGATGAAAAAAATGTGCTGGTTGCCATCTGCCAGTCCTGAATTGATCTTTTCCTTTCCATGTATTCAATTTTCTGCCCCCATGCCAGTCTGACTAGGCTACTAGGAGACTCTGTGTATAGTGATGGCTGCTCATTGTGAGGCATTGATCTGCCTGTGCAGAGTGACTTGTTTAGAAAAAAGAATGGGCACTCTCATATGTGGAAGCTAGATCTGAAATAGAACTGAACACGACAACTATTCAGGATTCCAGACATTCACACACAATCAGACTAAAAGAGGATGCCAGCAGAGGAGGAACCCAAAGGCATAACTGTCCTGAACACGTAGAATACTATTTATCAAAACGAATTCCAGAAAATGGAAACAGATTATTCATGTGTATTGTGTGTGTATGTATATATGTATCCATGTGTGTGCTTGTTTCTCTTCCTGTTCTTTGGGAGGATGCAGAAAGGGAGGGAGGGAGGAGGAACAAGTGCAATCATGCTGTTCAGTATATACTACGTGGAAGATGTACTATGCAACTTGTGGGCAGGGACGGAAAAACTGAAGGGAAAGCAAAGGAAGGGGTGACATTGTCCAAAAGAGAAATATATGCACTATCTGAATTGTGAAATGGTAACCCCTCTTTACAACACCTTAATAATAACAATAAAATTTTTTTTTAAAGTTTAAGCCAGCCGGGCGCTGGTGGCTCACGCCTGTAATCCTAGCTACTCAGGAGGCTGAGATCTGAG